TATTGCATAAAATATACTTATTTGTATCTTTATTAGTGAAAATATCACATTAAACCAGGTTAATATTGTATAATTGTCTTAATTAGTCATTTTTAAATATGTTATTAATGATCTAAGAGATTAAAATAAAATTTTTAAAAATTACAAGAATTAAAAATAATAATTTTAAATTTAAAAGACCAAAAATAAATTTATCTTAAATTTAAAAAACTAAAATATATTTAAATCAATAATATATTACCCACGTTGTAAAATGCAGCAGCACATATCTCACTCGTAATTGACCACAAAAATACTTTATCGGGCATTGGTTCACGGTTTACCACGTGGCTCACTTTCCATCTCTTAATTGAATTGTGCATTCGGTGCCTAGGTCTGGCAAACAAACATTTAGGTGGCCCCACCCTTTCATACGTATCCACGTGACAATATTTCAATATTCTAACTCTTAATTCACATAGGGCCAATATCACGCTGCTTAGACTTATTATCTTTTTAGGGTAATTTTTGAAACTAATTATATATATAAATAAGGTTATTTTAAATTATTCATATCTTACACTAAATTTTAATGATCTAACTGTTGAATTTAAAGTTTTTAATACATAGATCAAGTTTATAAATTTTTAAAAATTTGAAAATTATTTAATACTTTATTTCATTAATTCAAATTGATGGACAATTATAATCATTTTATACATTGATTTGAATTAACTAAACGAAATATCAAATAGTTTTCAAATTTTAAAAAATTTGTAAATTTGATCTGTACATTAAAAACTTTAAATTCAACGATTGGATCGTTAAAACTTGATGTAAAACATGAATTATTAAATAGAGTAAGCCTAGGTAGACTTATCCCTAGAGTTAACAAATCCTTCCTCATCCAAATAATATTTGTATTTTTTTAATGTTGATGGAACCATTTGACTCGTATTAAAGTTGTTACAACCTATAGCAATTTCATCTATGTTACTACTGGGAACTACTATTTGGCATTACTTGTTCTAATTTTTTTTCTTAATTTTTTTATTGGGTTGTTATGGTCCATGTCATCTTTAATTTTTTTTTTGTTTTATTGGGTCATTATAGTCTTTATTGTCTCTATTAAAAATAAAATAAAAATTGAGATTATGTAATAAAAGTATGTTGGTCTAATTAGTATTGTAATTGGTCTTCAAATTTGAAGATTTTCAGTTTAAGTCTTAAATTTGATAAAAATATTATTTTTATATAATAATAAAAAGGTATAATGATCTATCAAATGTGAAAGAGACTAAGTGATTGTTAAAAGAGTCTTTTTATATATTAGTATAGATAAAATAATTAAAAAATTATAAATATAGTCACTATGAATCACAACAACTTAATAAAATAAATAAATAAATTAATTAAAGAGTTGATATGAACTATAGTGACCCAATAAAAAAATATTAAAAATAGAGATGATATAGGTCATAGTAACCCAATAAAAAAAATTAAAATTAGGATTGCTATAACCCATAACTACCTCATTTTTTATTTATTTATTTTTTAAGGAGTCACTGTGGACTATAACAACTAAAAAAATTAGTACTTTAATGTTGTTACAACTTATGATGACTAATACTAGGTTACTATTCTTTACAACAATTATTTCTTCATGACTCTCATGATTCTGGAAGAAACATAATACATGTGTCACTTGGGTTGTCATGACCACAACCATAGTGACATTATGTAAAATAGTTCTAAAGACATAAATAATTACAAAATAACAACGTTTGCTATGGTAGACAAGTTTAATATATTGTTCATCGGTGGATAAGTGAATAGTGATTATTTTTATTTAAATTGCTATAAAAAAAATTAATTTGATATCTTGCTCACATTGGTCATCATCACAAAGCCTTCACTTCAATCGTGGTGGTGTAGATTTGCACCTGTCTCTACCAATAGCTTCATGGAATACTCTAAGTTGAGATCATCTAACAAATCTGAGTGAAGATCTAAAAGTACCTTTATTACACGTACCATCGGTCATGTGCAGTCTTGTGAGGCCTTCACTTTGATTGTGGTGGTGTAGGTTCGCATCGGCCTCTACCAATACACATAGAGAACCCACCACCATTGTTCACATCCAACTGCATTAGTGTCTTCACGAATGACGTCAGCTTCTCCAAACCCTCAAAGACGCCTCCTTTGTCAATGTTGGGATCCGCCAAGAACCTCATCACCACCACACGACACACAAGAAGGGATGAAATCCAAATAAGCGAGGAACTAAAATCCATGTTGGATTATGCATGTTACATGTCCCTGTGGAATGTAAAATACTTTCGAGGTCTAATACAAATTTGGGGTGTGCCATTCGCATTGAGTGGTGCTATTATTGGTGTCCGTGAATTCGTAGCAACGAAACTAGTGGAGGTTGGATTAGGATTATTGAATTTTGGGAGGGGAGGATCAAACAATTTTTTTTAATAAAATAATTATTTATTATTAAAAAATAAAATTAATATATTAATAAGATTTTTATTCCCAAATAAATTTGAAGCGTTTTAATTTAATTATTTATATATTTAACGATATTTATTATTTTTCCACTAGTGAGCCACATGAAAATCACACTTTATTTATTGGTTCACCCATAAATAACATAAATCACAGGTTCATAATAGATTTCACCCAAAATAATCTTACTTAAATACATAATTTCAAAAATTACATCACAAGGGTAAAAAGTCCACAAACGAATGGAAATTGTTAATATATTTTAGAAGAATAAGAATAGCCAATTAGCCATTGCACGATTATCTTAGTTCACGAGTTATAGAGCATGAGATGAAATGTGATTCTTTACGAGTTAAAACTTTTTGGAGACATTTAATATGACAATTAGTTACATAATAAGAAGTTTATATGATTTTATAATCTTTCATTTTACTCACAGATGATAATTTATTTATTATCACCATTGAGTCGGATTATAAATTAATTGTCGATTATATTTATAAAATGGAGGAAAATATTTTTAAAAGTGAAATAATTCTCGACCTAATTAGAGTGATATTGTCTCTGTATTTTTTCATTACTATTCAACATAATAAGAGAGAAGTTAATGTTATAGCAGTAAAGTTATATCAATTTGAAAATAAATTTAAGAAAAGGATTATGATGAATATATACCTCGTTTTTATAATTTACAATTTGTTTGATTTATTAAAGAAAAATATATAAAAAAATGTAAGAAAAAGAGAAGAAAGTGATATATTTTTTAATGGTTTAATAAAAGAGAAAAGAAAAAAATAAAAAGAATGTGTATTTATAGCATGAGATAAATATGTAGATAAAAATAAGATAAATGTTTATTTGTATAATAATATTTTTCATTTTTCTCCTCTTTAAAAATAAGATAATATGTTGTTTATTTGTCTAATAATCCAGGCGAGAGACTCACCCGTTTTTCTTTTTTTCTTTTCTGCCTATTAAAAAAGAAAAAGATTTTGAAAGGAAATTAAAATGTACAATCCTCTCTTTCTTATTCTGTTGCACTGTCTTTTCCATGTACCAATCAAACAAGTGTTATGATTTTCTTCAAATAATTAGAGAAGTAGCATATAAAGAATTACGAAAGAAGAGAAAATGAATAAAAAAATAGAAAGAACTTTAAAGTGTTTGACTAGAAAGAAATAAAAGAAAAGTAGTAAAAAGAAAAGAAAAGTTAATTTTTTTCATTAGTTTGTATTTAGTTTTAAAACAAGAAAGAAACAAGAATACACAAACACAAATATATATGAATTATTAGACGAATAGAGACAGATTGAATGTATAGTTTAAGTCTAAAAGATGAATGAAGTCTCTAAATTAATAAGACTTGACACATGAAAAGACTTTACAGAGCATGCGAATAAAAAATTAGAGTTTGGGTTATAATCAACTGTTTGATTATACAGAAAGGTGAAGAAGAAAAATAAAATTTTCTTGTAATTAAAGACATATTTACCCTTAATGTATAAATACATAGAAAATATTTTTAAAAACAAAAAATATTATCATACCAAAAATAAATTTCATGTTAAATTGTATATTTAATGAAAATAAACATTTTCCCATTTTTCTTCTAAAATTTCAATCCTATAATATAGTAATAATTGTATAATTATAATATAAAGTTAATTTTGCAATTTTATACAAAATTCTCTCCTCTTTTTCAAATTTATTTTCATATGAAAAATGAAAATTTATTTTTTAAGCAGGTCTCACACTCATTTTTTTTTCTCTCTACATATTATTTTCTTTCCTAACCAAATAATATAAAAATAAAATCTTTCCACTTCTTTCTTCTCTTTTTCTTTTTGCTCAATGTTGAAAATAAACAATGTGTTAGAGTGTATGAGTGGAAGGAAAAAAAATGATATAATAAAAAATAATTAAAATAACATGAAAGAGAAAATACTTAAAATACTGATAAAACAATAGTAATTCTAACTAGTTCTATTTTTTTGACACCCAAATTTTAAGAGACACCCAAGTAATGCCTATTTATTATTATTTTTAATTATTCTTTTACCTCAATTTTTTCATGCAGTACACTTGAGGAAAGAGAACAAAATTAATAGTTTTGTTTGGGATGTTTTTGTCTTATATGGGTGTCTTAGAAGCATTTTTCGATTCTAGCTCAAAAGTTGACACGGACAATTTATTAAGCGGGATATTATGTTCTCGATCTTGTCTTATGAAAAAAAAATCAACTAAGTAATAATCACATGAATGAGATTAGCTTTTTTTCATATTATTGAATGAGTATAAAAAAAAATAGCAACTCTCAATAAGAGTAACCTGAAGCAAACATGTTTTATTTGAATTATAGTACAAGATCCCCACAAAGGACAGAAAGGACCCGCCAAAAAAACCCCAGCTAATTGATGTCTGAATTATTTTTGACTCATCACTCTAGACAAATGATAGGTAGCTTTTTTGCATCACAAATTAGTGTGTCCGAATTGATTTTGGCTCATCACTATAGACAAAGTATAGGGGAGCTTTTCTTGCATCACAGAATCTTCTTCTCTCTCCTCACTTTCTTAATTCTCATTAACACTATTATCCGAGTGTGTTTTGTGTGTGAGTTCCAACTCCAAGTTAAAGGGACCAAGAGAGAAAGAATAAAAAGAAATAAGCTCAAAAGAAAAGAAGAACATGGGGGTGATAAAGGGTGCCATTGGAGATGCAACTTTGACATCCATATGGGTTTTCATCATCTCAACTTTGAGGATCGTAGCCACTGAGGTGGCACTTCTCCTTGGTCTCCAACCCTTTTCACTTTTAGGCCTCTTCATAACAACCATCCTAAACACCCTCTATGTCCTCACCATAAGCTTCATTGGGAGGGTCTTAGGTGGTGCTAGCTTCAACCCTTCAACAAGTGTTTCCTTCTACACTGCAGGGTTGAGGCCAGACTCATCTCTTGCATCCATGGCTGTGAGGTTCCCTGCTCAGGCTGCTGGTGGTGCTGTTGGTGCCAAGGCTCTCCTCATGGTGGTGCCACCTCAGTACAAGGACATGCTGAAGGGTCCTTTCTTGAAGGTGGACTTGCACACTGGTGCTGTAGCAGAAGGAGTGTTGACTTTCACTCATAACTTGGCTATACTCTTTGTCATGCTTAGGGGTCCTAAGAACCCTTTTTTGAAAGTTTATTTGCTCTCTGTGGCTACTGTGGCTTTGGCTATTCCTGGTGCTGGCTTCACTGGGCCTGCCATGAACCCTGCCAATGCCTTTGGATGGGCCTTTGTGAACAACAGGCACAACACTTGGGAGCAGTTTTATGTCTATTGGATATGCCCTTTTGTAGGGGCTAGTTTGGCTGCTTTTATCTACAGGGTTAAGTTTATGTCACCAATCAAGCAGAAGAAAGCTTGAATTAGTTTAGCTTATTCTATGTTTTATTTAATCAGTCTGATGTCTGCTCCTTTCAAAGACTGTTGTTGGTAGGGAAACTTTGCTGTAACTTTTTGCAACTGGTAATGTTCTTCTTTCATAGATAATCCAGGCGTAGGTTAGCTTATTGTATGAATTAGATTTATGAAATGAGTGACTCCGTAGCATTGAAACGTGAAATTTATTGTGTCTTGGAAAGAAAAAGAAAATGTAGATAATCTTAGTTTTTGTTTGTATGGTGAAAAATCAAGATTTCATTTCATGTGGAGGTGAAATAAAGGTTAAATAAAAGTATATATAAACATATATAAATATATATTTTGAATGGTTGAAATCATCTGTAGCTGAAATTTCATCTACAAACCTGATCCAAATCACAAAGGGGAAACATGGGAGGTAAACAGCATGTTGTAATGAAATGTCAAAACCATATAATTTATAGTATGATATTAGTACCGATATATATTTGACAAGCATAGTAACTGATGTAGTAATAAAAAAGATAATTTTTTTTCTTCAAATTATCAATATATAGAGACTTATGTATATAATTATTTAATGTAATTAGATATTATATACGTAAATTAAAAAGTGATAAAATTAAATTACGTAAAAAAATATTTAATTGCACAAATTTAAAGAAAACAATACAATGGATGAAATTAATATATAATAAAAATAATTGGAGATTGATTTGTTAGCTTTCCTTATGCAAAATGATATAAATTTTTCATCAAAGTAATTAATCCAACCACTTATATATGTATTTAAACTCTAATTTTTTAGATAAATTTTTTTTTACATTGCTTAAGAAAAATATTAATTTTTTGGTGATTTTTATTAAACAATTCTACATAAGATCATGGATTAAAAGTCAACTAATGAGATTTATATATCCCAATTCCTTGATAATAAATGTTATTAGTATTTTCTCCTTGATCATAATTTTAAAAGAGTTTCCTAGCCTTAATTAATTTTAATAAATCATGTATTGGGTGGTCAAATCAAAATAAATATATATTAAGAGCAAAAAAAAATTTAATTGAATAATACATTTATTAAATTAAAAATAGAAAAAAATTACATAGTTTAAGTAGTTACCTCAATCCTCATCATCAATAACAGGAAACTTAACCGTTCATGACTAAAAATTATAGCTTTAAATGAATCTTTGAGCACTCAATGATTCTTAAATTGATATCACAAAAACTTTTCTAATATTTAGAATTGTATTAAAGAAAATATATTATAATATAAATTAATACAAAGATCTATAAAAACTCTAATTTTATAATAATTTTTTATGATTTTCATGTTAGCTCTAGATGCTTAGAACGCTCATATTACTCGCTTTGAATAATCAAGTTAATATGTTTAGTATTGTCCTTTGTTTTCAATCACTTAATTAGAACGAATTCTTTTCGCTTGGAAGACAATTCTATACAACTTGAAGTGAAATTTATCCTTTGAAACTTGTAACTTTTAAATTATTCTTTTTTGTGATCCATTTCAACCAAGAAAAACATAAAACAAAAATACCTATATTTAAACAATTGAACTAACATTAAAATTATTTCTTGACTAAATATTTTGTAATGAAAATAAAATTTAAAAATACAATATAACTTAATGATTATTTAAATTAAATAAAATATAAATGCATATTTAGCGATTATCAATTACTCGGAAATTTGAAGTTCACCTCACCAAACTCTCACTATTTCTTTATATAAGTTAGGTGAACACACTAAGTTAATACAATATATGCTGCAAACAGCAACGGGGAATAAAAACTCAGGAGTACTATTACATTACATCCATAGAGTGCAAAAGCTTAGACTTAATTACTGCTACAAACAAAGCTATATATTTAGTAAACGATTAAAACAGTGACAGGTTTTGAAGTATCCAAGGGGAACTCTCTTCGGCAGGTACAAGAACACAGGATCTAAATGAAGCACACATGTAGAAAACTGCCATGGAGTAAAAATATTACATCGAGGGCCTGAGATCATGCAAGAGGGTACATTGATGCATAATTATAATATGATGAGTCAGATTGAATACAACTTTAGAAGAATTTTTGAGAATTTTTCTATTGAAAATTGAGAGTTTTTTTCATTAGAAAAATTCAAAACAAGACTTTTAAATTTGTATTCAAATAGACTGTATACCCTCTACGGTGCCACGTTGTTGCTTAGTAGTTCTTCAAGTGGAAGGATCTGTCTACTGCATGGATAGCACCATGCAATCGGAACATATTTATGAGTCAGAAAATTGGAGAAGGCCTCAATCAATTGTTGCAGGAAGCACCACTGCCAGTAGTTCTGCCTTTTCTCGCATTCAACTTTGTTGCTTTTCATGAGGCCACCATTGATCTAACTCATGGCTTCTAAATATATTTACATCTTCATCTTAAATAAACCCGTTTTTGTATTTCCTGCTCCAAATTAATTATTGACAAACGGCATTAGCACTGGTTTCTTCAAATTCGTTTCTAAGCAATAATTAATGAAATTATTTTTATATATCAAGGCATTCATAAAAATACTATGTATGAATAACTTGTGGTCAGAGTCCGGTCAATATTTGTATTCAAAACAAATAACATGTGGTCTTATAATATTATTCTAAGACAACCATTTAGTGGTTTAAGAGCAAACTTCCCATTTGTTTTTGGAGGGAGTCTATTTAGTAAGAGGACTATTCCATGAATACATGCGATTTTAAAATTAACCAATCAAAGTGGTATGAAATCATTCACCTAGAAAAGATATTAAAATAGATTTTGACTAAATTTAAGCCACTTGAAATTCTTATGAATTTGCATGCTCCTTCCACTTTTTTTAATAAGATTCACTAAGATTATAAGAGTTGGTTAAATTAAATTTGTTAAACTTTTTTCTCAAAATTATCTCTAATATTATGATATTCTTACTTTACTAACTATTATTAAAGTAAAGGATTAAAATAATATGCGTAAGATCCAATATAAGATATTGATATATCACTATAGTCAATATCTTGAAATAAGGTTTTAGGTCCAAATCATATTACCATCATTGTAACTACTAATTAAAGTAAGAAAAATGACTTTAAGTAAAGATATATTTTGCAAAAAAATAAAATAATACAAGAAACATTGTATATTGATTTTTATAAAAAAGAATCAAGACACTTTTAATTCGAGTCTCATAAAAATTAAGGACGAGAAGAAGTATATATATTTTTGTACTAGTTTTCATCTTCCATTGTTTATGTATATGTACGTGTGACTGTGTGAGTGAATAAGTAAGTAAGTAGATTATAGACACGATTGAAGAAAAAAAAAAGTTCAACAATACATTTTGTAAAACACTTTTGTAGATTCTCTTAATTATTATTTGAATTTCATTACAAAATGCAAAATTTTGTAGGTTTTAGTTCTTATAACTCTATTCATAATCTTATAAGTTTTAATAAATTTTAATTAATAATAAAAATATTTAAAAAAATATGTTAGAAAGTATATCGTAAATATTAACGCTTATTAATAGATATATAAATGTCATCGACATATTTTTTTAACATGCTTTTTTATGATTAAAATTTATTAAAAATTATAAAATCATAAGTAAGATTCATCATATGAAAAAACAAGAAAATTTTATTACTCCAGTAAATTTCAGAAAGTGTCTGATTAAAATTATTTATATGATCGCGTTCGTATGATTATTCTAACCAGTTAAGAACCCCTTCACGATACAATTAAGTTATATAATATAAATTAAAGACGATGATCTGTCGTCTAACGTGTCATAGTCAATAAGCTAGCAGCATTGGAGGATCCATCTACAGTTGGCAATTTGGCATCAAGTAATTGGAGATTGAAACTTTAATTTCCAATTTCTATGCATCATGTTTCGTCAAAATTTGGTTAAAAAAATGTATAGTTTTTGTGGTTGATTAGTTATTTTTTTAAGAAGAAAAGTTTGTCAGTAGAGGAAGCAAGAGACAAAAAGGGGCTAAAAATCCACAATTAAAAAACAAATATGTGTAGTTTTTGTGGTTGATTAATTAGTTTTTTTAGGAGATTGATTAGTTAATTTGTGGGGCTTTAATAATACAAATTAATTAAAGCTTTCAGACTTTCAGCTACATTGTACTCTAGCCAAAGAAAATTATTATAATCCCTTCCCAAATCAAAGTACGTTTTTCTATTGGCTAATTTATGATCATCAAACGGTCTTTAGGACTTGAAAAGAATCAAACCGTGAAAACAACACTAGCCATAGGCCATATGCCAATGACCTTTCCTTACACAAAATCCAAGACCTGCCCCTGCCAGTGGTGCAGCAAGCATCTTTGTGATGTGATTTTTGTTGTTAAATATTTTATAATTAACCCATCAAACATGGAAAAAATCGATCTCTTTATTTGTTTACTTCTTTATTACTTAATTTCCAACATAGATTACAAAGTAATAACTCGCCACAACCACAAAGTTTTTAACAGACCCATAATTATTTATTAAAAAAATTAAAAAGGGAAAGTTTTATTATCATTTTACAAATAACGATTAACGAATGAAGAGACATATATATATATATAGGAGAATAAAAACATCCTCGAAGTCAGTTTAATATCGATCACCCATCCAATTCGAACCTAATTTAGCATATGAAGAAGAATATTCATTTAGAAAAAGAGCATATATATATAAAAGTACCTGAAAGCAACTGCTACTTGGTTCTCTGTCTGTGGTAGCTTAAGCTTGTGTCTGAAAATCTTGAGGACACTGAACTTTGATCCAATAGATCAAGGACAAGAAGCTAATGTTGCCGTCAAGAACTACCTTTCAGTGATGTATAGCTGTAAGAAGAAAGAATTGTAGGAGCTCTTGATAAAAAAATATTTCTACATCATTCTATGAATTAATGTCTTATAAAAAGTTGCTTGCAACTTTAGATCTTGTTATTTTTTCTGTTATACCAAGTATAATTTTGGCTCCTAGATCAATACTAATTAACACTCTTGCACTATTAGATATGAATGAAGAAAGTGAAGTAAGGTTTGCATATATGAAAAGGTGAAGCATAGGTTATATGAAATATAAGGGCATGAATTATAGAAACGTACCATTAGGTGAGATATAAAAGATGAAGTGGGTGAAGGAGGAGCAGCCAGGTTTATTTGTACGTAGGGATAATACAAAGGGTTTGGGCCTGGCCGCTCCTCTTCAAAAAAGAGTTTAGGGTTTAAAGCTTAAATATTGATATATGGTCCGAAAATACTAAAAAGTTAGAAATAAAGAGAAGAGGGAAGTGAGAAGGTTCATTGAATGTAGACAGAAGAGGGGAGCATCGTACAGAGACAGGAACATGGCTTTGGGAGTGGGACGAGCTGTAAAAGGTTTGGTAGGTGTAGGCAGCATCTGTTTAAGGTTTCACTTTTTCGGGAAAACGAATAAATCGCATGTTTAATTCAGCTTACACTCTTAAGCGTAGCCACGTTTAATATCCCGGCCAATGCACACAGAATTAATATATCTTTCTTTAAACTTAAAAATAAGTATGTTTAAATAAATATATTTTAAAAATTAATTCTTTAAAATACTGTTTTAGTAAAAAGTATAGTCATCATTCAAACACTTAAAGACTCTCCTTTTTCATTGCATTTGTTTTTTTTATATCTTATTGTAATCGTTATATCTGTATTTCTTTTTTTTTAGCTACCTATTTTGTTATGGGTGATGTTACAGAGATGTCTTATTCAAGGATAAAATTGTGAAGGTTTAATGAGTATTATAACAAATAATATCTTAAATGTATTACTAGTAGAAAAATAAGTTTTTAAAATTGGTTATTTTTAACTTTTAAAATCGATTCTCTATCCGATTTTAAAAGTTAAACTTTTAAACTCGATTATTTAATCGATTTTAAAAGTTAACTTTTAAGATCGATTATTTTATAATCGATCTAGAAAGTTTTGGCTCCGAAAAAAATAAAACTGGAACGGGTCGTTTCAAAACTGGAACAAATCGTTCCAGGTTGTTAAAAAGGCCTAAAACTACCGTTTGAAACGGACCGTTCCAGCATAGTTAGTTATGAGTTAAAATCTATCCAGAACGGGCTGTTCTTCTTGCAGAACCTTAAATTCAAAATTTACCGAAATAAATCAATAACAAAAGTAGCCAGAATAAACCAACAACGAAAGTAGAGACACGAGAAGAGCATGAGAATGTTACCTTGATATAGTAGTCTTTTAAAGAAAATGAAAAGGTGGAGAGTTTAAATGAGAGAACGAGAGAGTAAAAAAAAGAATGGAGGGAAAACTCAAAGAGAATGAGAATGGAGAGAAAGATAAAAGGTTTCTGACGATACTTTTAAAATCGGTTATCTAAGAACCGATTTTGTATACTACATACAAAATCAGTTCTTAAATAATCGATTTTAAAAGTAGTACTTTTAAAATCGGTTCTTAAACAACCGATTTTAAAAGTAGCAATTTTAAAATTGGTCATAAAATAATTGATCTTAAAAGTACTTTTAAGATCGGTTAAAATTTTACCGATCTTAAAAGTGTTCATATTATTTACAAAATTGTCATCGTGTCACTTTTAAGATCGGTTAACCGATCTTAAAACTCCGATTTTAAATCTAATTTTTACACTAGTGTATTGATATTAATGATGTTAAGAAACTTACAATTAAAATATTTTGACACCTACCGTAAACTTTTGTAAAACCTTTTGGGTGGTCACCCTCCTAAAATATTGACCGTGTGACTAATGACCTTTTGAATTCATAAAAAAAATTGTATTAGATTTGCATTCAGGTCACCATCACCTTTGTCCTCCATGATGATACCATTTTAAGCATTCAAAAGAGCTTCATCAAATATACTGTTAGACACTACTACAATTTTTCTCCATCACACAATTACATTCCATTCTCAAATGATCATATTTATCTATGATGTTTGTATTGAATCTACATGTGAAGTTCACAATCAAGAGTAAGGATAAAATCTTTTTAATTTATGGGAAATCAAAAAGTCATGCTGAGGTTGCAATTTTTTTTATTATATCTAATCCTAGCGCAATCAAAGAGTTGAGATAAGATTGCGAACAACTTGAATTAAAACTAACCCTAATACAATTAGTGAGTCGTGTTGAGGTTGTGAACAATCCAAATTATAACTAACCTTAGTACGATTAAAGAGTCGTGCTAAGATTGTGAGGTTATAAATGACTCAAATAATGATCGACTATAGTATAATTAAAGGATTGTATTGAAGTTGCAAACGACTCAAATTATAATTGACCATAGAGCGATCTAAGAGCATCTCTAATGTAGAGTACTTAAAATGTATTTTTTCTAATAAGTAACTTTGTTTATTAACAACTCCCATTGGAGTGTGATGACATGGAATATGAAATTACTTTTAAAAAAAAAAAAGTGAAGACTCTTAAATAAGCAATGCTACTTAAAACACATTACTCCCATAAATCATTCCCACCAGTAAAAAAAAAGATTACTTATTATGTTTAATTAAATTAATATTTAATTATAATAATTACATTAATTTTTAAGTTGTCAAAAAGTGAAGTGTAAATAAAAAAATTATAAAAGGTTGGATTACTTATAAGACTCTATCATTAGAGCAAAATTTATAAATAAAAAAAAATAGTGTGTGAATTGCTTAAGAATGATGTGACATGGTAAGTTTCATTTAAAGTAAAATAAAAATCTTAATAAGTTATTTATAAGAACCATTTTTGGAGATGGTTTAAGAATCATGTTGAGGTGGTGAATTATTCAATTTTTCAAAAAAATACTTTAATACTCTAGTATTAATTTTCACTATTTTACAAGGAACACTTATATTAGTTTGTGTATGGTTAATTAATTTCATATCTTACTATGGAAAATTTTATTTTATTTAATCTCCTTATTTTGAAAAAAACTCGAGATTAGGAGATTGTTTATCCTCGAAAGATTTTATCTAACTTGATATTTATTTGGGAAGAGTGGCATATTATGATTATAATAAAATATATGTGAATTAAATTTTTTTTCTTTAAATCATGGTAAGATTGGTCACTAAAAAAAGGAGATAGAATAAGAAACAACAAATATAACTATTGTTTTAGATATAAAATAATAACAAATATAATGAAAGAAGAGAGACTTAAATACTCCAATAATATAACTATACTTTTTGCTGGAATACAAATAGATAAGATTTTTTTTTTTATATATAAAAACATAATTTTGTTTATTTTAAGTTTAGTTAAACACATTAAAAAATAAAAAAGTGCTTATTTTATTAAAAAGAAATACTTTAAAAAAAAGTTTAGACAAACAAATCTAATATGTAATTCAATAATTATATTTCTTATTTCTTGCATATTTTATGTTAGTTAAAATTTATAAAAAATTGTGATAGAAGTTTATTAAATAAAATATAAGTAAATGCTTATATTACTATACTGATTTACCTTTTTCATGGTCTTATTAACTAAATTACGTCTTATTATTTTAATATTTATAAGATAAGATTATTAATTTATATATGTGGATATTTATAAAAGTACTATTCCAATTCATTTAACATATTTTCTTTTTTATAATATTATTATCTAAATTATATTTACTGTAACAAGAATAATTTTCTATATGCATTATTAAATTATGTATCAATATGTGTTTGGTTTTTATAAAACTTAAAATTATATTAATTAGTGTTTTTTTTTAGAATTAGTTATTTATTATTTGAACCATCAAATTTGTGATGAGATATTAAATATATTTTATGATATTTTTCCTAATATTTATTGTGTATAAGATGTTTAACACTGTAATATATGTGAAGTAATTGATCAATTTTAAATATTAAAGACAAATTTTGTTGCCCATAGATTCATGAACATAATTGTTTCTAGCGAGATATTTATGGTGTACATACAGAAAAAGTAGTTGATCCAATTAAAATTATAAAAAAAATTGAATTAAATTTATATTCAAAGAGATTCAAATTAAATTATAATTTATTTTGTGATTAAATTAGATGTTTTTATTTTCTGAAAATGGACCCAAAAAAATCACCAAATGACTGCAACTTTTTTTTTTGGCCCAGTAAGAAATTATATTTTATTTTGTTCAAAACGATTCAAACTAAATTATATTTTATTTTTTGATTAAATTAATGTTTTTCTTTCCTGAAAATGGGCCCCAAAAACATCACCAAATAATTGTATTTTTTTTTATTTGTTTAAATAAAAAAAATTACCACAATTACAATAAAAATCGTAGTTAAGTTATCATACATTTACCTGGAGGCTGATGATATATACACCTCCTATCTTTTATAAATACACCAACCAAAAAATGACTGTAACCCTGCAAGTCCTAGCACCCCCAAGACAATAATACAATTGAAAAATCAATTATTAATGAATTAATAAATTCTTAAATAACATAAACACTCAGCTTAACAGTGTTACGGTGATCTGCATCTGCCCCAAAGATATTCAAGCGACTTTAGAATTTTGATGGCCCGCTATATACGATTATGGGTAGGTCAAAAAAAAAAAGAAACGAAAGTCCAAATAGCCAGAAAAAAAGAGTAACAGCCCATCAAAGATATGCTTTTGGGTCAGGTAAAAAGAATTAAATGACTAGGAAAAAGAAATTCTTTAGGGTAAGTAATGGGGTCAAACTGAGATCAAATGTAATGTAATGTAATATTTCCATTAGATTTCTTCTTACCTTATGCTTGCACTCCCTGATTATCATTTTTTTTGTTTATATTGGTAATTAATTAATATTTCCATGTTGGGCCCTGGGGGTACTGGGTAGGTTGCACTTAGCCCAACGCCATTGACATTTTTGTCCAACCAATTTCTTGGTATGATCCTAAACGGACTAATATTTGGGTACTGGTGGGTCTGCAAACCATCATTGACATTGAACTCTCCTACCACTAGGAATGGCAACAGGGCAGATTGAGTATGAGTTTCATGATACTCGTTCTCATTCCCGTGACTCAAACCCATCCCTACTTGTACCTGTATCTGTCAGGTATGTAATTTTCGTCCACATCCCATCTCCGTCGAGTATCGGTTATACCTGTCCCCGTAAAAAATTATTTATTTTTTTACAAAAAAAATACACAATATTTTTAAATTATTTTTTTATTATATTATAATTATAATTAAATTGTTTCTCTATCTCATATTTTAATTAAAAGATTTCTTAATAATTA